CCACGATGAGCCGTGGATCTCCGCACTGACACCTGCGGATATGGATACCCACAGCTGTAAAGCGGAGACACGCAGATTTGCAGGGCTCGACCCAGGAGAGTTTAACCACTCATGGTTGGCGGGCCAAGAAAGAACATGCTGTTGTGAGCTATTTCCACTAGGGGGCAGCAGTCACACACAGCACAAAAGCATCTGGCTTTCAGTGGCAGACAGGCCTGTGGATGAATTGTCCTTTTCATGCCCACAAGGCCACGCGGAAGGCTTGGGACGTGGGATCACAGCAGTGGGCACAGAACACGGGCCTGCCCCAGCGTGCATTTCCGAAGAAACCTGCCTTGCAGTGGGCAGGGCTGGCAGGACACCACTGACCTTGGTGTAGGGTAAGGGTGCAGGCATGTCACACTTAACAGAGAAGGTGTGAACAAGATTTCAGGCTGAAGCCTGCCTGAGCTCTGGAAGGGGGCCCTGGCTGATCATTTGACCAGCCTTATGTCAGACTCTCTTATCAGGAAGCGTTTAAGACCAGGCTCCATTACTAACACCCCTCCCCACCACCTCAGCCCCCAGCACTTGAACATGCCGACAGCTTTGAGCCCCATGCTGAAGAGCTTACATTGCTCCTGGAATGCAGGGACATAGCGTCTGTCCAAAGCTATCCCATGACCTAGCACCACAATTCCTGAAGCGGCCAGTGGGCCCCTCCAGTTTTAAAGAGGACGTGCCCACCCTAACCCAGCAAGACTGTTTCGCAGGATGAGTTAAGTATAACCCGCAGGGGTTGCCGTGTTAGTCTGTAACTTTATTAAAGCAACCAATCGGTTTTTTTCTCCATTCATCTGAAGAAGTGGGTTCTCCCCACAAAAGCTCATGATCCAATCTACATTTTTTTTCTCAGCCTTTTGTGGAGAGGGAGTCACCCATCTGCTTTCTCAAGAAGTGCTGCCCCTTAAACGCAGCTGGGCTTGAGGCAGGATGGTAGTGGGGGAGTGTTAGCAGCTAGCAGAGGTTTCTGAGTCAGGACTTATAACCAATGTTCCCTCTAATCTTTTCTATCCGCGTGTGGAATAAAATTGCTATGTGCACCAAGGCATGTGCAAATGTGCACCACACACAGAAACAAAAAACCTAGATGTGCACACTCTGCTAACCAGCTGGGCAGCAGTGGAATCTGCCCTGAGCAGCCGCCCAAGTGCCCAGCACACAGGGCACACTGATCACAACCTTCTCCTGCCCATTGTGCTAAGGCAGGGGCCTGGCTAGCTGGGCAGGTAGAAGAGGATGAGAACCCCAGTGCTAAAAGCTTTGCCTCCACGTCTATCAATGAAGCATAGCTTACCAGCGTTACACTCACCTAGAAACCGTGCCATGGACACCAGGCGCAATGACGTTACTGTGGCACCCGGTCCTCATCTGAGATTGGGCTCCCCTGGGCTGGGTGTCATATCCCAGCCTTGTCCCTGCCCCAGTGAGCTTCTCCGGGCTGGGAGGGGAAACTGGCAGGGAGCAGTGAAGTGGGGCAATCACTACATCAGGCAGGTGCCAGGGGATACACCCAGACAAGGCATGCCTAGGCTGCTGCAATCCCAGCACTGGCAGCCGTGCAGGAGTACGGTGCAACAAGCCCGTTCCAATCCACCTCTTCCACAGTGAGGCTCTGTCTACACAACAGAGTATCCCAGAAAAACTGCCGTGTCCAGGGCATGTGTCCGCTTTTTCAGATCAGTTTCCGAAAAAGCAGGTGCGCTCTTTCAGAAGCCCTGTATTCCCCATTTTATGAGGAATAAGGGCTCTTCCAAAGGAGGGAGTTTTTCCTACATTTGGCCTCACATCGGGGCCAAATGTCGGAAAAGCCTCTTCCAAAAAAAGAATCAGAAAAAGGTACAATTTGTGGTTTGCAGTTGGCGTACCTTTTCCCCCAAATACCCTGCGGTGTAGACATAGCCTCACTGAAACTCACCTCCGCTACAGAGAAACAAAGTCAAAAGGGCCGGTGCAGCTCCGCCCCCTTGCTTTGCTGCATTTCCAGCACGGGCTTCCCAGGAGCCTGGACCAGAGGGACAGATCACACTGGTGAGCAGGCTGGCATCCGATACCAGCAGGATACGATTTAGAAGCTGCTCTCATAGCATCAGGTTGGAACAGGCGCAAGTCCCCAAGGAGGTAATCGCACACCAAGACTGTTTCAAGCGGAGCAAGTTTGGCGTGTGACATTAAGCTATAGAAAGTAATCTCAGCTAGTACCAGCCCCCACAAATGGAGGGGACTTTTGCAAAATCAGGGGCATGCCCATTTTATTAAATCTGAAACTCACCCTGCTACTATGATGTAGCTTGTTTGAGCTGACAAGCCTCTGCCACAGGGCACTGGCTAACTCCACCAGCTGGAGGCAGAGTTGTAAACATCACAATACAGTGTAAGCACTGAAATGGGGTCGAGCAGCTCCCAAGGGAGGGCAGCTGGAGGCAGCTGTGTGCTGTGATTTCACCTGCTACATGTGGCTTATGCTGAGTTTGAAGCTAGGAGGCAGTGCTATAGACCTAGGAAATGGACATGCAATTTACCTCTGCTGGATTGGGGCATGTGACCCTGCCCTGGGCTGTGAGCCTGCTTGGCACAAGGTTTACATTTCATGGTTTGAGACGAGACTCCACTTCCAATTTACAGACTGCCTCCAAAGAGCGAGTCCTGGCCCCAACAACGCACATCTCCCTGTCTTCCCAGTCCCAGTCCCCTCGTGCCCGATTCTCAGGGCTGATCTCCACGGGGATTTACTGTACAGCAAGCCAAAGTGTGACTACAGCTCAGGCGCACGTGGCCCAGCTACCACACACTGCAAGTTCCATGTGCTCTTTGACATAGTACAGTCTCAAATAGCAGTGGTCCCCTCCTAGGGGACAGCATAGTTGCCTGCGCTGTATGTCCAACAAGCTTACACACTGGGAGCTGGGGTAATGCACTTCCTTCTCCCAGATTAACAATCCAGCCTCAGTGCAGGAAAACGAATGCAAGCCTTTAAACCCACACAGGCAATGCTGGGTTCTGGAGCTGAATGTCCCTCATTCCTTCACATTTGCTTTGGAATCAGCCGTCATTCACAGGGCAGCTTGACCTCACAATCCACCCGAGTTAGTTCATCAAGTTCACTACTTACAGAACTGCCAGTGATGTCTGAGAGCAGCACAGTCTGTTTACTAAAGGAATAAAGATTGTGAATGATAAGACACAGCGTGAAAAAAAGAGGAGGAGCAGTGAGTGAGTCTGTTTGGAAAAGCCCTTTGCAGGAGGTGGGGGGGAGGTTGTCCCACACTGGGGAAGGTGCCCAGGGGCCTGGTGTGTGGGGCAAGCCCAGCCACTCTGGCCCTGTCAATCATTAGGGCAGAGAGGAGGCCTTTAGAAGGAAGGAAACAGCAGTCAGCTGTGGGGAAGATCTCCCTGAGCAGACAGGTTGGAGTGATCCCCTAAGTCACAGCCGGAAGTCTTTGTCCAGATTCAGCCTGGGAGTCTGCTATGCCCCCTGGAAAGCCCCATTCAGCCACCCAGCTAGGAGGACTCCTTGAAGATGGCAACACAGACAGCCCTGGAGTTTGAAGGTACTGTTGGCCTCTTTCCTTTTCAGCTGGCTCTGGGAAGGTATGTTTGGGTGTGCTGAACACATACCTTCCTCTTGATCCTCAGCAGAAGAGACTTAAGATGACCCACAAAGGGCAGGGTCCTCCCCAGCATAAAACTACTGAGGCCTGTGAATAAGCAACCCAGTAGAAACAACTGGCTGTGGCCATGGTCTCCTGTGGCCTGAGAAAAGCTTAAGGAGTCTCTCCTATGTGCCCTCATATATCATCACCCTTGGGTGCACACTGGCATGCATGTTAGGCCCTGCCGCCCAAAGAGAGCCCCCAGTACAGCATTTCAGTCTCTAGTACACTCAAGGAGAGGAACCTTTAGTGATCATAGCTAATGCCTCTGCTCCCTGAGCAGGTGAGCACTAATATATTCAGTACAACCAGCGATCCCTGTAAGGTGCCTAGGCAGCCGCTCAGGAGAAATTCAAATGCCACCTAGCTGATTAGCAGAGTGCCCACAGCTAGATTTGTGTTTCTATGGGTCATGTGCATTTGCACATGCTTCTGTGCACATAAAAATGTATTCTGCACACAGATGGAAAAGATTAGAGGGAACATTGCGTACAACCCCCATTTTCCAGACAGTTTTGGACATAGCCAATGGAGTTAGGATAAACCGAAATACATACCCTGCTGCCCAAGGAAATGAGTAAGCTTTGGTTAACCACTGTTGAATGAACAAGGCCAGTCAGAGTGGAGGGGGGAATCTGAAGGAAGACCTGGTCGTTAGCTACAATTTTCACCTCATTAGAAGGCAGCCTTGAGGAGCAAAGCACCCAGCAAGAACGCAGCAAGGCAGTGCCAACAAGACCTCTGTTCTGCTGCTGTTGGCTTGCGGACAATGGCTCTGCAAACTGCAGTCTGTCACTTGGGCCGTGTCCAGACTCAGGGTTTTTTCGGGAAAAGTAGCCTTTTCCCGAAAAAACTTCCCCTGCGTCCAGACTCAAGCCGCGTTCTTTCGAAATTATTTCGAAAGAACGCGGCTTTTCTTTCGATGGCGGTAAACCTCATTTCACGAGGAAGAACGCCTTCTTTCGAAAGAGGAGCTTTCGAAAGAAGGCGTTCTTCCTCATGAAATGAGGTTTACCGCCATCGAAAGAAAAGCCGCGTTCTTTCGATTTAATTTCGAAAGAACACGGCTTGAGTCTGGACGCAGGGGAAGTTTTTTCGGAAAAAGGCTACTTTTCCCGAAAAAACCCCTGAGTCTGGACACAGCCTCTTTCGAAAGATCCGCCTGCAGTCTAGACGTGATCTTTCGAAAGAGGCTCTTTCGAAAGATGCTTTCGAAAGTGCCTCTTTCGAAAGAAGCCTGCAGTCTAGACATAGCCTTGCTCTCATTTTTACAATAAAGGGAGGAAAAAGCAGCCGAAAGCGTCTCCATTCTTTGGACGGTACGAATGTTTTAATTCAGAAATTTGCTTTAATTACATTATGTAATAGCAGTCTATTTTACAAGGGTAGGGTATGAGAATGAATAGACCACTACACAGAAATACAGAGAGAGCAGAAAAACTAAACATGGGAAAGAAAAAGGTTAACTTAATCCAAAAAAGTGCTGAGAGAAGGTGCAAGTGGGAGTGACCGATTACGTACCAAGATCCAGAGTAGTACAAAGGATGAAACTAACATAATTTACAGTGTTGGTTCTGCACAACCATTTTTTGCCCATTTTTACAGAGTCTTTATTTTCCCCCATCACTGAGCTGATGGTTGTGTCTCTCAGGGTTGAGTTTGGTCGGAGGGGGAAAAAATAACCGATGGGCAAGCATCACAATCCCCGGTGAGCTGGTCCCCAGGCTCACACCTACAGGAAGTGTCTTCCACTGGATAGGCAAGGGGTTCTGCACCAAGAACTGTACGGAGGAAAACTAAAAACAGCCCCCAAACGCCCCCTTATCTCAAACGTAGAAAAGTCTCACTCTGGAAGTGCTTACGAGGAGGTCATCATCGAAGAACTTGGTTTCTATAATAACGTTACCACTGCGGAGGGAAATTAAAAGGAAAGCCAGGAGATATTAGACAAAAACAATTATGGAACACGACTGGTAACAGTGTTCTTGCCGGCTTCAGCTAACTCCCTGTCCCCACAATACACACTGCCTTTAAGAATATTTATTGGGAGCACCCCGAGTAGTGCAAACGGATCCCGTACTGTGACTTGCTGCCATCAACTACGGGTTATCTTGTGCAGACAACAAGAGATTTGCCCGCTGCATTCCTGTGGGGAGCTGCTTCCCCAATAAAAATGAGATGGTTTCTGTTCACTGGGGGGATGTCACATGGGCTGTGTCAGAAGGCAGAGCAGGGGAGGGGATATCTACAATTCCTATGAAGGGCTAACTTTGGTACAATGTTTGCCAAGTCAGGGGTAAAGCAGTAGCATGGCTGGTGCCCCCATGTTACTCATTCATTGCCGGGGGCCATGAACAGCAGCACCACACTTCCTGCTCTGAGGGGTGGGTTGTTGGGTTGACCCAGCTCTTGTACTTGGGTCTAGCTCAGGTTTCAAGGCTCTAATTTTAGGAAGCCTTTGGAGAGTGGAATGGAGAAGTGAGGCCCCGTAAGATTGGTGAATACAGAGAACTGGGGGTTGGAACACACTCATGTACCTTTGCCACCCTCCACAGGGCTTGGTCCTGAAAACTTTTGGCTTCCTGGGGTGGGGAGAATTGTCTTGTCAGGTGAGCGTTTGTCTTTGTTCTGGATTTTGCATCTGGCTTCCCTGGTGTGTGCTAGGGCTCCTGCCCTGAGAGCACTGTTCTAACAGTTCCACTTACTGTTCTTTCTTCCCTCTTCAGAGCCTTTCCTCTTTCTGAAAGTGCTGTCACAGAATTTGTGACATCAGAGATCACCTATAACCACAGTTCCCTCGCAGGGCAGAGAGGGAGTAATGGGGAAGTTTGAGAAGAAGGATCTTCTAGGACGGCATGGGGAATCTCAGGCCTGGGGGCCAGATGTGGCCCCTGAAGCTCAGCCCCCCCTCCGCATTGGGGAGCCTGTGCTGGTACTTCAGCCCCAACACACACTTGGAGCACACAAAATCTATTAGGCTGGGCCCCCCTAGGCTCTGGTGAGGGGAATGTGGGGAGTATCTTTCTCCTTCTCCGTCAGGGCATCATGTCAGTGAGGGTTTGGGGGGAGGGGGTGTTTGCTTCTCACTTTTGTACGGCCCCCGACTGATTTTTTCTGTGCGTCAGCTGCCCCCAACCCAAAAAAGGTTCCCCACCCCTGATCTAGGAGCACACCCATCTTGGTGTGACTGGCTTTCTGCAATCCGCCTAAACTTGACAAAAGGATTCCAACATCCTCCTGTCTCTGCTGCTGAGCTGACAGGCAATGAGAAATGTTTTGCCAGGACAGCTCCTAAACGGATCATGGCCTTTTTCAGGGATTACTGCTTCCCCAAGGGTCGGTCTCTAGGCTTCTCTTCCCTCGTCCCATCAAACCTCCTAAAGCGACACCTTCGTACTCACTAGCCTGATCCAAGCCCATGAATCGCTGATCTCAGAGGATGTCAATAGGTAAGGAATCAATTAAAGGGATTTTATTTTGTTCACACACTATTTTGCGTAACTGAGCTATTTGATGTCCAGGGGTGGACAAAATATCTGAAGGTTGGCAAGTGTGTTCAGTGTTAAAACAAGCACCAGAAGCCAACTTCAGGTCACGGCTGATATGACCTCAGTGCCGCCTGCAGAGATCTGGGGCAAGAGCCAGTCAGTAACAGCTGGTTTTATGGGAATGCACTAAGTAGCTACTTTAGAATTTTTTTAAACTTCTTCACAGTCACCTTGAGAGATAGCTCCAGCATTTAATCCAGAATCAAGTCCAGTTTTTTAAAAGTCTTATCAGCTCTATTAAAGCAAATTAGGCCTATGGGGAAGAGGCAAACAAGGATGCTAGGAATTATTAGGAAAGGGACAGAAAATAAGACCCAGAATATCTTACTGCCCCTGTATAAAACTATGGTACGCCCACATCTTGAATACTGTGTACAGATGTGGTCTCCTCACCTCAAAAAAGATATTTTGGCCTTGGAAAGGGTTCAGAAAAGGGCAACTAAGATGATTAGGGGTTTGGAACGGGCCCCATATGAGGAGAGGTTAAAGCGACTGGGACTTTTCAGTTTAGAAAAGAGGAGACTGGGGGGGGGGGATATGATAGAGGTATATAAAATCATGAGTGGTGTGGAGAGGGCTGATAAAGAAAAGTTATTAATTAGTTCCCTAAATAGAAGAACTAGAGGACACCAAATGAAATTAATGGGTAGCAGGTTTAAAACTAATAAAAGAAAGTTCTTCTTCACAGAGTGTGTAGTCAACCTGTGGAACTCCTTGCCAGAGGAGGCTGTGAAGGCTAGGACTATAATAGAGTTTAAAGAGAAGCTAGATAATTTCATGGAGGTTAGGTCCATAAAAGGCTATTAGCCAGGGGATAAAATGGTGTCCTTGGCCTCTGTTTGTCAGAGGCTGGAGAGAGATGGCAGGAGACAAATCGCTTGATCATTGTCTTCAGTCCATCCTCTCTGGGGCACCTGGTGCTGGCCACTGTCGGTAGACAGGCTACTGGGCTAGATGGACCTTTGGTCTGACCCAGTACGGCCGTTCTTATGTTCTTATGTTCAATAGCTATCACTATGGAATGAGACTCAAAGCCAAAACCGACAACCCTCCTCTTTCATGTTTTAAATCATCTGCTACTTTTGTTTTTCTGCACCTATGGCAATGCCAAGCACTGCTTTCCCCCACCCTCCATGCTCTCCGAGTCTCCAACCCCAAGCGACTCACGTTAAAACATTAGCTGGCATCATCTGTGATTCTGGCGCTGCCTCTATCAAGGACTGCCAAGTGTTTGTGGAGTTAGGGATCACAAAGCCAAATTCGAAAAACCATTCTGTAAAGTGAAAAAGATTCAAAAGTTTTTTAAGAAAAACACAGTGGTCTTACGGTTCTAGCCCTGAGGGCACACCCAACTCCTAACACTGCCACTAACTGACACACCTCATGCTCGTCCTGCAGTTTGTATTTACGTTCAGAACAAAGGAAATGCTACTTAAAAACTGGGATAGTACAACGCAACCTGCACTAACCCCCCGTCCTTACTCCACTGTGCCCTTGAGGAGCAGATCTTGCCGTTTTTCTTGTGATTAACACTGAGTAGAAATTGGGCCAAGTTAGATTTCGTTGTTCCTAACCCATCTTTAGAGTGTTCTAAATCCTCCCCCTCTTCAAAAACTCTCCCATGTCAGGACAGCTCCAAGTAGGAGTGTAACTAATAAACCAAGGGAGTGAAGTTTGGTACACTGACCTAGATTAGGTATAATATTACAACAAGGCATATTAGATCGTACTGTTACAAAGTGACACATACAAGTCTTACTTGCATGAGTGTTAACATGCTTATAAAATGGTCACTGTAATGCTTTGGCTCATTCAGTCTGACTAGTACCCCACCTCAACATTACTCTTAAAAATTAAAAAAACCAAACCAACCCCACCACGTTCAGCCCATCTCATTACCCTCAATCCCAGTCCCTTTACACAGTATCAGTTCACCACATTAGAGTCTGGCTGTCCACAGAACGGATGATACCTTCTAGACACTGCCCTTTGAAATAAACTTTCTGTTCCAGTCGGAATTTTTCCATTTGCTCTGCTGAGGAGAAGTTTAGCTCCCGGGACACTGCTTTGCATTTCAGGATTTTCTTAGGAACTCGAGCTGTGAAAGCAAGCCAGACAACCATTACTCTGACAAGTACTGCTGCATGCGCGATTATGCTATCCTCTGAAATGCTAACCAACGCGAATACATAGGTCTGCGCGCAACCAAAAATCTGAGTCCCATTTTACAGAAGTGGCCTGTAAGGAACAGACAGCTTTAACCTAATCCCTAGCCTGGCATCTCACAACAAGTCTATGGCAGCGACAGAGAAAACAAAAACAAACCCAGCATTCTAGACTCTCAATTCTTGGCAATCTACTCCTGTAGCCACATTGCCTCAGGCTAAAACGTGACCTGCGCCACGACACATTACTTTATTTTCCTGTGGCAAACATTAAACTAGCAACATTTCCCCTTTCAACTCCCCTTTCCAGGGTCTCTGTCCTGATCAAGCCCCACTGGCATTTCCTAACCAAGTGCGTACTGTTCTGATGATTTCATATGAACCAAAGGAACCATTCTGTAAGGGCACAGAAGTGTTTCCCAAAATACCTAGCCCTATAGGGGTAACCCAACTACATGAGGAGGAAGTCTGGGAGCATATGTTAATGTCCCAGTCACAAGGATAAAGGGGCATAATCCATTCGCTAACTAGCTACCAAGCCCTTTACTCTTAGTGTGTAATTATATGGCCTTAGTGTACTAGAAAGCTTTTCATGTAAATTTCTATTCTACAAGCAGAACTGCTCCTGCACAGAAAGCCCATCATTGTCCACAAGCAGACAGCAAGCTGCTGTTTAGTAACAGGAAAAGCCCATCAAACACCAGGCAAATCCATCGAATGTACAGCAGTTTAACAGACTGGGACTTTGATAGGATGCTGATCTAGAGAGCAGCGGGGATCATGATGTAAGCTACCACTGTCCCAGGGTGGACACAGATCCCATAATTTAGAAAACAAAACCACAATGAAGCTGTTTAGATGTTTTACCTCCCTAATCCACTGCCAGTTTTAAGATATTTTCCATGGCCTAACAACATCCCGCTCTATTCCTTCCAAGTACAGACTGCAGCCTATTGTGAATATGGCCCATCCATTCAATGATATAGTACCTCACTGAAGCATTGTGCACTGTATTTATTTGGCCCATGATGTTTTGCTGTTAACGACAGTAACTGTCTTAAAATTACTTTTCTTAGTCTGCATTTGGACCAACTGACCTGTCATAGAATTACAGAACTGGAAGGGACCTCGCGAGGTCATCCTTTTTGACTCTTTATGCTCACCATGACCAGACTGCAACTTGCTATGAATTGCCATGACAGTACAACAGCAATGATATTAGTACTATACACTTCTGACACAGGGTAGTCTGAAAGACATTGGAGACTGTTTTAATTAAGTCCCAGTATACCCGCGAAGCAGGCAAGCATTATCGCAGTTTTATCCACTGGGGAAATCTACAGTGCAGAGAGGCAATAGGACTTGCCCAAGTGACAGAGCTGGCAACAGAACTCATGAGCCCCAACTTCTCTTCTATCTACAAGAAAATACACCAGACACTGCATCGAGCCAAGAAAGTGTAACAGTCTGTCTAGCTACAGTGACAGAAGATCGCTCAGAAGCTGCCAGTGCCTCTGCGGGAAGTTGTAAGAGGAAGTCAAAGAACAATGGGAACAAATGCGTCAGGATTTACAGTTTTTGCTTCCTTTAGCCTGATATCTTGCTCCTCCCAGGGCTGCTATTAGTCATTGTCTCTTAAGCCCCTTTCTTGCCTTCACACCCAATATTACACAGGGGCTAAAGAGAAGGCAAAGCAGCACTACTCCATAATTTAAGCAAAGAAGCAGCAGGCTGCAGAACTGCCTTTTTTTTTTAAATCAGTTTCAATTATTTTACTACACTTGTACTTACAATTACTGGAACCATTCCCTTACAGCAGGCATCTGGAAAAAGCCTGTTCTATAGAGGTTGTGCTATTTCCTTGGTTTCAGAACCAGGCCCACATGATCCACTGTGTTTGTAATGACAGCATTTCCAGGTTTTGCTAGGTGTGCGATACAGAGGGTGTCACTAGGGATGATAACAAGACTGCAGCTATTTGCTGCTAAAAAAGCACTGGAGTGGGACCAGGAGAGACTTGCTAACCCAAGTGGAGGAGGTAAGAAGAGGCCAGATTAATGTTTTTCCATAGTGCTTCTATTGCCTAACTGCATTTCTGTTCAGACCCACACCCTTCCTATTATAGCATTAGGCCTCTCTTGAGCAGAGACTGTCATGCCCAACTGCGCACTGTGTGTGTGAAGAGGGAGAGCATCGCCTGGGGACCTGATTAGGAGTAGCAAGTCCATTTCATTTGTGACCCAAGCGAGCTTTGAAACCAAATCTCTGTAGCTGAAAGACTACAGTTAACCCTGTGTTCTACCCAGCATGTACTGCATTAAAGCAGCTCCAATTGTCCATCCCTCGCCTCTCCCTGACAGCATTACCGCTTTAAAACAACTTTACAAAGGAATAATGTAAAAGTTGGCTCCTGCTGCCACTCCGTGGTGTCAGATGCTTTTATAAACTGCCTGCTGCCCATGCACGGTAAGAGATTGTATAATTAACAGGGAGTTGACTGCCCTAGTATCACCAAGCAGGATTCAGCCTTTGTCGTTTAAGCAAAAATTCGTAAGTAACGCGGCAGTAAACTGATGATGAAGGTCACTCCACTCTTCACAGACATTTGCATGCTGCTCACGTGATCAGAAAAGCCTTTTGAGTAAACTGGCTGCGGCCCCAGGTTTCTATACAGAGCCAATATGATAAATAGTCTATACTGAGTTAAAGTTGCTTTCCGTCACTATCGCTTTCTGACATGCTTCCACTCTAGCAGGGGTATAAGATAGCTATGCAGAGCAATGTACAATGGAATACTTTGCTAGGCCTCTGGGAGCAGACACCAAAGGCAGAAAGGGAAGAGAAGCCGCAGACGGAAGTGGAGAGCACAAAAGCATCCCATTTACCACTTCAGAGCACTGGGAGAATTTAATGCTGGAAAAAGTAACGGACCTGGTCGAGAGTGAGCAGAGGGCAGACAGGATGCATGGTTTCCCATACAGTGCTCCCACTAAGACGGGCATCAAGGTACCTCAAGAATAGAGGACAGTTGCATTTAGTGCATAAGGGGCATAGGAGTCAGGGCTGGGGGTGAAGGGACAAGGGCGCCATTTCAGGAGCATGCGGAGGGGGGAGCTGCAGCCACGCATACCAGGTCGCTGCTGCTCTTCTTCCTCTTTCTCTGACTCTGAGGGAATGAAGGGAAAGTTCACAGCCTGCTGCATCCTCCTCTGTGCTCCCCTCTGCAGCAGGGAGTGAGAGGAAGGCACAAGCTGAGCACTTTCCCCTTGCTCCCTGATTGTCAGGGGAAGAGGAAGAAAACACGGTACATGCAGCCCCTGTGCCCTCCCAAAAGGAACTTAGGGTTGGGGCAGCCCCAGACAGGGTGGGGCATATATCCCTAGCTGGCCCCTTTCACCTGCCTGGCTACCTGCTGCTTAGCAAGGCAGCCTTCAGGAAGAGAGCCCCAGGAGCCCAGCTGGGCTGGGAGCCGAGCCAGCTGGCTTCTTCTTGTTAGAGCGCCATACCTCGTTACTTTCACCTCTGTTCTCAAGAGAAAAATAGAGGAGATAAAGGCGTCCCATTGCGTATCAACAGAGGACAAAGTAGCAAAAAACAGGACTGGCCTCTATAAAGAGGACAAGTGACCACCCTATCTCCCATTGTGCCTCACCCCAACCAGTACAGCTTCTAGTTCAGTCCAGAGAGGGCAAAGTGGCACTACCCCATAGCTGAAGCAAAGATGTGGCAGGCTGCAGAAATTTTTTTTTTAATGTTTCCATTGTTTTACCACAGTTGTACTTAAAACTGCAGGAACCTTTCCCTTCACTGCAGGCATCTGCATAAAGCCTGTTCTACGAAGATTCACAAGGTAAGGCTTTATTAATAGATGAAAAGTTGGACAATCAGGTGTGCAGAAGTGAATTAACCCACTGAACGGCTTGTATTCAGTCTTAACATTTCTCCTCTGCTTGCTGCTGACCCACCTGTTCCATGGGCTGTAGACTCATTCCTAGCAAACAGTCCATCCTTCAAAAGCAGCACCATGCTGATTGCCAGGCCTCGTAGATACTGTATTACCACACCCAACAGCAAGGCCACATCTTACCTTCATGCTCCACTCCAGGTACAGACAGGTCTTCTGTCCCTTGCCAGAGGATTTTCCCCGTCTCTGCATCACGAAGATTCATCCAATTTCTGATTGGGAGGGGATTAAGGAAAACAAACTGTGCTTTTAGGCTCTATGCCCATCGTTCTTTGCCTAGCGCTGCAATAAGCAGTTAAGTTATACTAAACCTGATTTTGATACGCCATGTATTTGGAGTTACAGTTCCTTTTATGGTATAAAAACAAGTCAACATTAGACCCGACTTGGTGCAACAAGAGAAGGGCATCCACTCATCATGTTTTCACTTAAAAATGATGCTCTTTGGCCTTGCTGACTATATTCTACTCATGTATACTGGATCAGACAGACATCACAGTGCTGCAGGGAAGCAAGTGGCAGTATTAGCATCTTGAGCAGATAATTCAATAATACAGTTCCTCAACATATCCCCCCACCTCTCAAGATGAATGGGACAAAGAAACCTAAGAGAAAAACATCCCACCTGTTACTAGAGAAAGAACATTGGGTCAATTTTCCTGACCTGCAGAGTGTGGTAAAGAGCATTGTTCTAACATTTCTGGCATAAGGAGAATACCAGTTCACATGGGAGTTACAAGAACAGCACATGTGATGGCATTTCCCTGAGGAATGAGAGTAAACCCCCCTAGTAAGAAGAGTAGGAAGTTTGTAAGTGTTATGTGCCAGCCTTCTAATGGTATGTATTGATGTAATACTCGTGAAAGTTATACAGGAGCGTGGAATACAGACACTTTCAAAGGCACAAATAGCAATTAGCCTAAGTGTCATTTGTGCGGTTGAAAAAGCCCTCCCACACTGTATGCTGTGCACACACCCATATGGAATTTGCAAAGCCATTTTGATTGTCAATATCCTATACCCCGATGAACAATTATCCTTCCAAAAGGCGTAAGCAGACTTGCCATATCTCCCAAAACACACTCTTTGCTTCCACCACTGATCATAGAGGCATTCAGGAAGTCACCAGCACATCACATGCTGAAGCATCAGAGCATAGCAGGACCTCTGCCCTGATAAGATAGCTGCAGTGTGAGCCTATGGAAAATCAGAGAAGATGCAGCAGAAATTGTAATGGCATTTCCTCCTAGACACTGGTAAGTTCATGTCAGTGCCTGCTATGTGCTTGGCACTTTCAGGCACTCAAGAAGGGACATCCCCTGCCATGCAAAACCCACATTCCAAGACAGCAGTTTGGGGGAAGAAGAAGAATAATTAGATTATTTATCTAAGTCAATGCTGTTCACTGTAACAGCACAGCCAAAGGGAGGCATAGGGACCTTTGAAGATTGACTCGGAAGTTATACTGTGTCCAGAGGGCTGTCTGGAAGAAGGACACTCTGTGAGGTGATGACAAACAAGTGAGGGTAGGAAAATTGGTGGAGCACTGAGCTGGGGAGGCTTGCCCGCAAGCTCAGGGTTCAGCTGATCACCATATTTGGGGTCGGGAAGGTATTTTCCTCCAGGGTAGATTGGCAGAGGCCCTGGAGGTTTTTCGCCTTCCTCTATAGCATGGGGCACGGGTCACTAGCGGGAGGATTCTCTGCATCTTGGGGTCTTTGAACCATCGCTTCAAGGACTTCAATATCTGAGATATAGGTGAGAGGATTATTCTAGCAGTGGGTGCATGAGATTCTGTGGCCTGCACTGTGCAGGGGGTCAGACTAGATGATCAAAATGGTCCCTTCTGACCTTAAAGTCTATGAGTATCATGAAACTTGACAAGGAAGAATAAGTAGCGTAAGGCAGAGTTATACACATGTATTTATATCAGTTTCTAATATATTTAATCTCTGGACAGATTTGCAACACTCTTCATTCTCTATATTGCTTAACAGTATTGAAAGCACTCGAGGTTTTTATGGAGCCTGGGAGAGAAAACACATGTTTTAGTAGCTTTTATTTTACTTAGAGATGTTTGCTTGAAAATTATGTATTTGGAGGAGGGAGGAATTTGAGTTAAAATTTCAAATAACGTTTAAATATAAAGTTTCCAGCAATCTTACACAGATCTAGATGAGAGAGATTTGCTTAGCTAGTTGTATGCAATCCAGACGCCTATAAACCAGAGGATCACCATGAATGACACCATACTGCTCTATTTTAAGGTACTTCTATGACCCAATTGCCACAGTATCTAAGCACTTTGCAAGCTTGAACGTATTTAACTTTGCAACACACCTGGGAGTTAGGGAGATGAAGATTTTTAAAGGTATTTAGCCATTGCTCCACTCAGCACTGCAAAGTGATTTAGGAGTTTAAATTTTATTTTCAAAACAGAGTTATGCACTTGAAAGAGAATCCTGAGTGGGTTCTTTCAAACTATAGCCTAAAACTCAATTACTGGCATAAACACAACACAGATGGATGAATGTGGCTTTATCACTCTAAGCACAGGGTTATGGAGCTGTTCTGACCTTCTATTTCCAGTCAGTAAAAATATTGGGATAGCCATAAAGGACAGAGGTTGACTTCCCTCTACTTAAAATCCAAGCTAACTGGCAATTTAAGTTTCAGCTGCATATTGGACATTGCAGCCTATTTTGACAATAAAGGAGTTAGCCATCCTGGTAGTATCCTTGTCAAATTGTGTTCTATATTGATGTTTCCATGTAATGGTAAAACAGAGTGTGATTGTCTCCTCTGTGCTTTGTACTCTGTCAACTTAAAGATCAAGTAGAAGTAAAAAGCTTAACCAGATGTTGGCTGTCCTGAGTTTGTAGGTCAGCAATCCTTGCCATAATTCCTAGCGGATACCTTATATTTCAACAATCTAGGCTTAAACTGAAGTACCAAATGAATAAAAATTTAACACCAATGCGGCTCAAGAACTCCCAACCATGATGGATTTGTGTGTGAACCCAGCACGAGCTCTTGTAGACTTTTTTGAATGAAAAAAATACGTTTAAAAATCAACCTGGCCATAGTTAGGAACACAAAATAGAGTTTTAACCTCCCCAAACAAATGAATACCACCAACATCTCTATAAACAAAGATATTTCTCCTAAGTAGCTAAGCATTATTAAAAAGGAAAAACAATGTATCCCCACCTACACACAGAAGATCATCTGGAACTGGACAAACAACCTCAAATTCAGATTACTCAGAAATCAGAAAACTATATCCTAACAACATTTTAGTTCATGTACAGAGACTACGACAATGGGCTAAAAGTCACTGGTTAGGGAATACCTCACAAAGCAGCTGCCACACTGCTGACCTACTTAGCAGATTATTGTACTATTTCTGTCATCTTGCATGGAAAGCTAAGCACTAGGACATACCCCATAGTGAAGAAAATGGAGGCCTTGAACCAAACCCACATGTGCTGTTATCTCCTAATGTGTTTAATTGGTTTAAGATTCTTCCATCACAGTAGGAGAGATATTGTCACTAAAAATAAAAATGCTCCATCTTCTAAGCAACCATGGAACTTGCAGGCAGGATCAGGAGGGCATCTGAAGTATTACAAAGTAGGAAAGTATATCAATATGGGTTTAACACAGTCATTCTTCTTGAAAAAAGCCTGTCTCAAAAGTTTGAGAAGATCCACACGCAGCGAATTATGGCTTCAAGAAGCTTAGACAACGAAGGGTAACAATAGTGTATCTGTAATCTAGCGTCCTCATGCAACATCAAAAAGCATAAGCTTCCTTACCAATACTGTTTTCGTGCTTTTGTTAGTTCTTATGGGATTGAAGACTCAGTATGTCATATCACCTTCAATCCTGGAGGCAGAGAACAATTAACAGCAGAAGGGAGCACTGTTGATCTATTCATATTCCACCACCTACCAGGTCAGCAGAGCCTTAATATAAATGTTCTGCAATAGCTGGAATTTAACTTGCTTTATAGACACCTGACAAATTAACATCCTCACAGACATACTTTGCTTAACCTGATAAAGAGAAGTATCCCCCAAACTGCTACTTGAACAGCTCCGACCTATGAAGAGAAATGCTGCTGCTTTTTATTTTTGTTTCTGTCAAAGACACGGTTTTTCTTCACAAAGTCAGTACGTACAGATTCATATTTAGAATTGGCATGGCAAAAGGCTGCTAATTAAGAATGACATTGAAGGAGGAATGCTTTACGTATATAGTAGGATATGGTGAAAGAATCCATGCTTCTACCTTGCTGTTGTTTGTACCCTGTGATATTTTACTCCAGTGCATGTCTAATTCTTTATTGATTACCTCATAGGCTGTGGCAGCCAAATTGCTATCATGTCTTCCATGAATGCATAGGTCTTTTCGTTTCAGCCTATGCCATCTTGTCTGTTCTTCACACTCTAGGAATTTTTGCACACCTCATTATCTTTCATAATGAAAGAAAACCTGTTTTTTGTAACCTAGTCTTTCATTCTCTTCCCCAGCTTTTCTTATCCATACCATACAGCATTCAAAAGCTGTGCACAATACATCGGGTGTGATCTGGGTGTCAACAAGTACACAGGAATATCCCAGAGAATAATGGATGTGTGCGCAAAGCCAAAAAGCTTCTACATTAGCTTTGTATAAGCAATGCCTTCCCCAAAGATAAGCTTGTGTTCTATAAGCCTGACCAATCTGATTAGCTTCTCTGATGAGGTTACTAGCTCTATGGACATGGGGAAGTCAGTGGATGTGATATACTTGACTTTAACAAAGCTTTTGATACAGTCTCCCACAATATTCTTATCAGCAAGTTTAGGAAGTATAGATTGGATAAACGGACTGTAAGGTGGACAGAAAGCTGGCTCGACTGTTGGATCCAAAGTGATTAATGGCTCGATGTCAGGATGGCAGTCAGTTTCTAGCGGAATGTCCCAAGGATCGGCTCTAGGGCCGGTTTTGTTCAACATCTTTATTAATGATCTGGATGAGGGGATAAATTGCTCCCTCAGCAAGTTTGCAGATGACACTAAGCTAAGGGGAAAGGTAGATATGTTGGAGGATATGACTGGGGTCCAGAGTGACCTAGACAAATTGGAGGATTGGGCCAAAAGAAATCTGATGAGGTTCAACAAGGACACGTGTAGAGTCCTGCACTTGGGATGGAAGAATCCCAAGC